TTCTTCTTCTTCTTCTTCTTCTTCTTCTTCTTCTTAAAAAGTCATGCGCCGTTGGTGGGATGGGATTCGAACCCACGACAAGAGGGTCTGCAATCGAGCGGCATCTTTTCTGTTTTCAAGTACTTGTTTAGGCGTTCCACATTATTTAAATATATTTATTTTTTTCACACTTAAACAAGGTTTAAGCGCCCCCCCCCCCCACTCCCTATGAGACCTAGCAAATGCATGCGGAAGCTGACCCTTCTCTACTTTTTGCCAATAATTTATGTGTAGTGACATCTCTGTCTCATTCACCAACAGTGCATTCAGCACCAAATACTGCATCCTACCCTTCAACACTTACACTTTTTTCCTAGAATGCGCGTGCATATATAAACACACACACATATTACCCTCCCCCTTCTCCACCCCCTTAACGCTTTAGTGCTTGAGCTCGCTAATACGTAAATTATAGAAATCTATGCATGTATATTTGTCTCGTAGCTTATAGCCTCTGGTACTGTTTACTTCCGTGGAGAATGATCAATATAGGCGTCATGTAAATCAGGGATCTGCGTATCTTTCCCATTAGGACCTTGAGATTGGCTGTTTCTATTTTTTTTTTAAAAGCTATTATTAAGGACGCTTTTGGATGTTTTTGTGTTTCTCCGGGACGGAAATTTGCGGTTGCTTTTTAAGCTTTTTCATGATAAGCTTCCGAAATGAACATTTGCACGCACACGGTTTATGGGGTGACCATCCCCAGTCTACATTCGTTTTTGCTTTTGTGACTGATTAGGTGGCGGGTAGGCCGCAATACAGTGTTTCCTATTTTGGTGGGCCACATGGGTGGAAAAAAAATCGGATGCAAAAATATTTCGATGTATGTTTTATTTTTTTCATATGTCAAAAATTTTGATATTTCTCGGGCAGTTTTTATTCTAGCGAAATCATGACTATGGTTTTGATGTGTTTTCTGTGAAGAATAAAGAAAATATAGAATGGTAGAGAAACGAGCAACGCAGTCCTCTTCTAGCCAGATGGAAACCTAACGGATTAAAGACATTAGATGTATTTAGTAATGGTATTGTTGATTTGCTGTAAGCAAAGACAATAGAAAGAAGATACAACAGTAAAATTGATTAGACTTAGCAGAAGAAGGGAAATATGTGTTCGCAAAATATTTATTCTGGAACACTGAGTTTCCACTTGAGCTGGAAGCATTCGAGGCCAGGAACCGAGATTTTCAACCTGATGGTCCGTCAGAAATCCCGCCTTTCCCCTTCTTCCCCAGTTGAAATTTTTTAAATGATATCTGCTATTTTTTGGTCTGATGTTGGACAAGGAACAGCAGAGATCAGTCTCCGCATTAAGCTAGCGGCGCTAATGTGTTTTCGCGACTATCACAGCTGAAAATCCAGATTATAACGACTCACAGTTTCAAAATTGCTTGACTCACCCACTTGAAACGACCCCACGCTCCACAGGTTGGAGACCACTGGACTAAATGGAGACACTAACAACACCTTACAGTGAAAACGAAACTATTGAAAAGGATTATCTAGTGTTGGCACGTTTGCAGGGAAATTGTCTGCACAGGGCAGGATAATTTGCCGTGGCTGCATCATTCTTGCACTGCAAGGGAAGATCAGACATTTTTTAAGTGTTCAGCAATGTGGCAGGGGGAGATAATTGCCGGCTACGACGCTATTGGTTATATGGCGTTAAATTTGCAGTGTTCTCGGTCTAGCTGTTGCTTTTGAATAACTCTCACATGAAAGCTTCTTATTTAATCGTTTACAAGAAAAGGACATTCTACAATGTTCCTTAACCGCACAAGACTGCCTTTACTTTCTCAGGAAGTTTTGGTTGGCCACGGGTACGAACAGGTTGAACAAAATCTGCTGTAGATGGTATAGTTTTTCTACTTTGACCCGTGAAAGGCCCCTTGTCTATTACAGGCAGTGACATCCACCCCCTCCCCCAACCAACCACCCGCCAAACAGAAATAGTAACCTGCTTATCCCCCTTCTTTCGTTTTTTGTGTGTTAATTTTAATACTCATCGTTATTCCTCTGTTAGTCACAGGACTATTCTTTCCTTAGTGAGGGCTGCTGACTTCCCTATATAAAAGCCGTCCTTCTTCTCCTCCTCCTGCTTCTCCACTTCTATTGTGACAGTATTTATCCTTCATCATGCTCTCTCAGTATCTCCGCTCAGCTCTCTCTCTCTCCCCAGTCCACGACAGCAGTTTTTTTCTCTTAATCGCAGCGTTTTTGTCTCAAGTTTCTGGCACCATCTCCCTCCCCTTCTTCTGACGTGTCATCGATCCAGCATGGTTTAAAAGAAAATACAGTGGATAATGATGTTTGTTGTTTGTTTTGTTTTAGTATCCAGAAGCCATGTGTTGTTAACCCTTAGGCTCAGTATTATGGATATCGCAACCTTTCGGCCTTGATTCCATTTTAAATACCGTAAATCTGGGAGAAATGTGGCTTTTCTGCCCACCCCCGGGAGTGAACCCGGACCACAAGGAGTTCGTCACCCGCTCACCGCGCAGTCCGGTTTAGCCAACTACGCTAGAGAGACGGGAGTGGATAACGATAATTCAGCACACTCAAGAAATGTGTGTAGAAGCAAACAAACCCCAGGAAAGGAGAGAGTCAGCCAAGCCAGCAGATTCAGACGTGGTCTAGTCCAGCTATCATCTAACACTTCCGGGGTGTATCATGCATGGGAATTGCTGTTGTGTACACTCCTTTTCTTCAACCTGCTCACACCTGCAAAACAAGAGGTAATGACCCTCCCCCCACCACGCTCACACACACTAAACACACACCCACGTCCCCCAACAACATCTCTCTTCCGCCCCAATACATTAATCAAGTAACAGAAAGTATTGTGAACGGCACTCATAGAAAGAAAGAAAAACACACTAGACAACATAAAAATCGAAAGCTATAGTTACCTTGCCGGGAATTGAACCTGTCACCTCCAGACGGCGTCTGCTCCTCGCCATGAATACAAGTGCACTAAGATACATGGTCAACTAGGCACCCCCAAAAAAGGTGTCTCATTGGCCATGTCTATCGTACAGCTTAAAATCCACGACTATGGAATACGGACAGAATTCATTTCAACCCATTGAAATGGCACCATAGGTTACATAAATTTATATTAACGAAGCAAATGTCGAATAACAATCACAGCAACAATTTACGAACACAGTAGACCTTATTGCTTTGTCTAGAATACACAAACATTTAAGAAAGGTACTAGATTGGTAGGTTCCGGTGTGTATACGTCATTCCTATAAATAAACAGAGGGGGGGGGGGGGAAACCATTTGAGGCCGTTAAATATAAGCCCCAATGCAGCATAGGCTCCTAGCTAACCCAAGTCGTTCTATCCTTCGCCATTACATGGAGCTCTCCCCCCATCTTTCTAACTTCATTATCGTAATCTCTTCTCCAAGTGTTTTTTGGCCTTCCTTATTCATATGCCCTTGTGGGTTTGAATGCAAAGACATCCTAGTTATGCTGTTCTCCTGTTTTCTCAGTGTCTGTCCTATCCAACGCCAGCGTTTTTTCTTCACCTCTTGGTCCACGGGAGCCTGTTTAGTTCTCTCCCAAAGCTGTACATAAGTTATTCTATCATACCATTTAATTCCCTCTATTCTGTATCCCCTCTATCCAGCAACATCTACACACGTTAAATAAAACAGGTATGTGATATAGAATGTAGCACGCATTGAATAAAAGAGGTATATATAGCACACATAAAATGAAGCAGATATGTGATCTAGATCTAAAACACATGAAATAAAGGAGATATGTAATCTAGACTCAAGCACATATAAAATAAAGGAGATATGTCATCTAGAATATAGCACACAATAAAAAAAGGAGATATGTGATCTAGATTCTAGCACACATTAATTAAAGGAGATAGATTGTTCATCCACTTATGGACTGCAGTCCTATTCAAGAACCTGAGTGTTGCGTGTGTTTCCGTTTTACAGATCTGACTCATTTGTATGCAGACTGCTGTTTCCTTGCCTCTCAAGCAGTAACACTCCAACTTCAAAGAAAGCTCCCAATTAGTCGACTCTAATGACATGCTTTTGAGTAGGCAGTGGGTCTGTTCTTGTTTTCCCTAAAATAGGGCCCTGGAACCCACACTAGGTGCTTGATAGTCTACAGTGGCTGGGACATATTAAGATCATGATAGTCTGCAGTGGCTGGGACATATTGAGATCATGATAGTCTGCAGTGGCTGGGACATATTGAGATCATGATAGTCTGCAGTGGCTGGGACATATTGAGATCATGATAGTCTGCAGTGGCTGGGACATATTGAGATCATGATAGTCTGCAGTGGCTGGGACATATTGAGATCATGATAGTCTGCAGTGGCTAGGACATATTGAGATCATGATAGTCTGCAGTGGCTGGGACATATTGAGATCATGATAGTCTGCAGTGGCTGGGACATATTGAGAATATGTCATATGTCTTCCGATAGAGAGCCCAGCTTTCTGAATCCCTCGACCCATACCCACCCACACTAGACTACAGGTTGCATAGAAATCGTGTCGTGGCCCTGCTGTATGTCTGTGCGTATTGTATGCCTATTCGGTTAAACGGGGTTTCCGTGATTTGTGCTTTTGTGATTCTCATTCATGAGCTGTTAATTGCACAGATTGCAATCCTGACTTGAGGGGGAGAAAACTTAAAAAAGAAATCGTCCCTCTGCTCACAGAACCGGCTACCGTCAGTTAAACGGAGGTCTCCGTTCGCTCGAGAAAGAAGAGGAAGAAAAAATAGGAAGAGTTGGAAGGACAAATTTTACCGACGGGTTGAATCAATAACTAAACAACAGCTCAGCCCATCCTGTCACATGAAGGAAACCACCTCTTTTGCCCCCCCCCCCCCAACCAGATTTCCCCGACATGAACCAGGAATTACTCACCACACAAACTACTCCGTTCTCGCTTTAATGAGGGCTCTGTAATTGTTTTACTCAGCGATAACTGAGAGTTTCTTATCAACTGTGCTGGAAAGTTGAGCAGTTGAGAAGAAATGCAAAGTGTGTCTTTTAGATTTATGAGAGACAGGTGCCGGGCGCTGCGGAACCTGTTGGTTAGACGCCAGCCCGGTCTCACCTGGTAATTTATACGCCCTCCTGTTACGCACACCAGTTTTGTTTGCTTCGAATAACAATCGTTATGTATTGAAAGACGCCTTCGTAATTCCGAGGTATCCGGCTCGATCCAAGCTGCGACAGTTTGGGAGCAGACCGCCTTGCGCTGATTTTGACAAGGGTATTAAGAGCCAGTGGCTAAGGCGTTGTGAAGGAGCTTCGTCATGCCGGGGTGCCACGTTCGATCCTAGCTCAGTGTTCAGTGCATATTTCGCCATTATCTTTTCAGCTCCATTACATTACAACAGTTGTTACATTAACATACAAGGTCCGATAATTAAGTAATGAGACAGATTTTATTAAGGCCAAGACAAAAATGCCATCTGTGAAGCAAAGCTTGGAATCTAAAGAGTCAACATTAATCTATGATCTGGCAACTTTTAATCGCCACTCGATAAGCAGACAACAAACATGCCGTCATTTTGTTTACCTAGTCAGAGGTGCATTGTTACGTAATCAGCACGTAGCAAAAAGCTAACATTAAATTATTTTTAAAACTTAGAAAAAGCGCTATTGAAACAGTTGAAATGATGCAACTAGTTTATGGGGATATTTTTTTTAAAAATCTCGGGCACACATTTTCAGGTTTTTTTTCACGATTCATAAGTGGTAAGGAAATGATTAATAATGCACCTAGACCTGGACGCCAAATTTATGTTCGCAATGACTCATTGCAAAAGTAAGAGAACAGATACAAGAAGATCATTATTTTGCTGTGAGGACTATAGCCGATGAATTTGGTGTTAAAAGTGAGACATAACATTTTAGTGCAAGATTTTGGCAAGAAAAAATTGCTTGCCGTTTGTATCGTTGTCTGATGACTCAAACTATCAGCGGGTTGAGTACTCAAGAGACATCCCCAGACACACCCCCCCCACCCCACTGTGATTATTTTATATTCCCAACATTAAATTTACGTTCGAAAGGACGCTTCTTTAACGATATTGATGACATCCAAAGGGCCGTAACATTTACACGTTCGAAAGGACGAAGCTTTAACGATATTGATGACATCCAAAGGGTCGTAACATCGACTTTAGGGGCCACAACAACAGAAGAAGTACAGAGGTCGTTCCATTGTTTGTTTAATTGTGCCACTTGCTGTATTAATGCACAAGGGGCTTACTTTGAATAAAATACATTATATCTCCAGCTGTTGATTATTTTAATTTGTATAGAATTAGTCTCATTACTTAATTGTCGGACCTTTTATATTGGAGCGTCGTCTTCTTTCTCTTAGTCTTTATCGGCTGTAAACTCTGGCGGACAATTCTGGTGATTTGTCCACCACTGGACTTTGGCCTTGTTCCAGTGTTTGTGCGATTGGTCACCACAGTCTGGTGAGATTGATGCAGCGGGCAGTGATGAGGGGTTCTGTTCGAGCTTGAGGCTCAGAGGAAAGGCGAGGTGGGAGTTTAACCAGAATGCTACTGGCACCATCAGTATTGGAACTCTGCACTGGCTGCTGAACATGGGGACGGAGTGCTTTTGGAATACCCCGAGTTATGTGATGTCGGTTTTTGAATCAACTCAACTCCAATGTTTGTGTTGTGCGTACCGTAAAACGTGGATGGAATACACAGATTCGTTTCTAATATTACACTGAAGACACCCCACCAACGATTGCTATATTAAAAAAAAGGGATATAATTAATGATCAGGACGAAATTTTTCGTTATTTGAAGCCCCACGCTGGCTTTTGCCAGGGGCCGCAATATAGGCAGGCCATCAATATGGCCAATTGTCTGAACGCGGTTTCTGGGACCTCTCCACGGCGATCCTCATCCACATGGTGGCACTTTGTGTCATCGGGTGTTTATCGCTTGTGTGATGTATTGGTGGGGTAGAAAGTCAGTCAGGGATATAATCCATTCTCGCTTAGTTAATAAGAGTATTTTACAGTTAAGGCCCTTTGATTTATGTCACGTTTTCTGTGTGCAGAATATGGACTCAGTAGAATAACGAGATTATGTTAATGATCTGTCTGTTGGCACGGGACGTTACCACTGACTTGTCGTATAACAGTGGGCGTAAGGTGTAACAAAGGACATGTAGTATAATCAAGGACCAATGCTATAAGACGGGACTATAACAATGGACTTATACTGTAACAATGGACATACTGTCACAATGGACATACTGTAACAATGGACTTTTACTAAAACAATGGACTTATACCTTTTTTTTAAAGTATCCAGAAACCATAAGCTGTTTAAACTTTTGGCTCAGTACTGTGGATATCGCAACCCTAGTCTATACTTCATCATCCCTCTTGTCAGATGCAGCTTTTCGTTATTTAAAGCCCCACCCTGGCTCTTGCCAGTGGCCGCGCTATTTCTGGGACCTCTCCACTGTGATCCTCGTCCACATGGTGGCACTTTGTATTATCGGGTGTTTGTCGCTTGTGTGATGTAGTGGTGGGATAAACGAAGATAGAGATCGCAACCCTTCGGCCTTGATTCCATGATAGGTACCGTAAATCTGGGAGGAATGTGGCTTTTAAGCCTATCCCCAGGCGTGAACCCGGGCTACAATGAGTTCGTTACCCTGTCGCCGCAAAGTGGATTTATACTATAACGCTGGACATTGGTTTAACAGAAAACATCTATCAAAACAACGGGCTTATAGTAACTAAGATGACATGCATAACACAGCACATGTAGTATAACCCTTACACATGTATGTATACACGTACAGTCTCTCTCTCTCTCTCTCTCTCTCTCTCTCTCTCTCTCTCTCTCTCTCTCTCTCTCTCTCTTTCACAAACACATACACACGCGCGCGCGCACAGACACACACACCACCCACACCCGCGTACAGACGTACAGTTTTAAATTTTGATGGTGGTGGATTGGAGGTCCTGTGTCATCACTTAAAGCGACGACATTATTCTGCACAACAAACAATTATTTGTTTGTGCATGTCCCGTGCCAGACAACCCAGTCGCATATCGTGTTAACGTCGCCCCCCTGCCATTGTTTTTGCCTCCTGACACGAGATCCTACAGCTAGTTGGCAGTGGTTGCCGGTAACGTCGATTTTCATGTTGAATGCCTTCCGAGGCTGGGGGCTATCGATCGATAGCTGCCTTTAGATATCTCCGCGACAGAACTATTGATGTGGATTCAGCTCCACGACCCTGCTCGTGTGTGCCCGTGCACGTGTGCTCTCTTTCTCTCTCGCTCTCTGTCTCTTTCTCTTCCCACTAGCAGCCAGATCGATCCGAAAAACGCAGTTGTTGAACCAATGAGTCAGCTGTGGCTGCATAATCTGGCGGCATGTTTTTGGCGTCCCCTACACGTGCCTGCAAATGTCTTGTTGCTTGTTTGACGGGGAACACCACCCTGTTGCGCTGGAGCTCTTCTGGTACCTATGATTAATTCGGAGAATAAGTTATGCTGACGTAACTCTCACTAGCCAATCAGCGGCCGTGTTTGCGAGATGTATGTATTTATTATTTTGCCTAATGCTTGAAGGGGAAGTTTAACCATGACGTAGTTCAGCCCAGGAGTGCAAGAAACAAGCGCCGACCGTTCTCATCGGATATCAGATGGTCATTTTTCGTCAAAGGTTTATGTTATAGGCCTTCTCTTTCGTGTTTAGTGTCTTCAAGAGAATCCGGATTCGAGACGTGTGGTCGACTTCAAGACCGGCTTCATTGTTCTGGCCAGTGCCGATCGCTTTAGCCAAGCAGCCACACCCGTCTGGGTCTCTTGCAGACACCCGTCCTAAAAAGCGGCGGTGGTATCCACGAAGGATCTTTCCCACAGACGCGGTATTTTAAGACAGTTTGGATCTTAACAAGCGTCATGGCGGAGCAGACTCAGTCACCGCCAAAGCATAAGGTAATGTCTTTGTAAAGTAGTAAAGTATTCAGACGTGAGTATTTGAATGTGGATCGATGATTGTTGTGAGAGTCAGACATACGACCACCAGACGTCAGTTCATAACAGCAGAAAGGACAAATAATGGTTAGACGAGTTGTGTGTAGACAAGGTGGACAAGTGATACTAGAGCAGTGGTTCTAAACCTTCCTAATGGCGTGACCTCTTATTACAGTTCCTCGTGTTGTGGCGACCCCCAATCGTACAATTTTTTTCGTTGCTACTTCATAACCAGTAATTCTGTTTTTTTACGATGGTCTTATGTGACCCCTGTAAAAGGGTCGTTCGACCCCCAAAAGGGTTGCGACCCATAGGTTGAGAACCGCTGTACTTAAGTGTTGCGGGTCAGAAGACTTCACAAGTGGATTTGACAAACGGGCAGACCAGTAAATGGCAGTTGGAAGTGTTGCCAGTACTATGCAGCCTTTCTCCAGCTACTGACTAGGGTGTCTCCGTGGCAGAGTGGTCAAGCCGTTTGCCTCGGGCTGTAAAAGTCGTGGGTTCGTTTTACGGCGGCGCCGTTGTTCAGTTCACGAGTGAAATTTTTACGAAGATCCTTATGGATCGTCGCCGAAGCTAAGGAGGTCGGGCCCTGTGCGGCTGTTCTGCGGAGAAAGACCATTTGGTATAAAACCCGGCGCATTGAAGTCGATTCTCTCACCGTTACCGTTGCCTTTAACTGTCATACAGGACAGATTATACATCATATATGAAGCCTATCAAGTGACACCTTTGGTTTTGTGAGAAGAATCACCAGTAAGCATATGATGGGGCTAAAAGGGGCTGAAGAGTGAAGACATTCTGACTAGACACATGGGCAAACCACATGCAGGCAGGATAACTAACTTGGATAAAGTGACAAAGGACCACACAACACGGACAGTTGTAAGGATATGATACAAAACACAAGAGGATTAGACATTACATCAGGGGATATACAGAAACAGAAGCACCCCCCCCCCAACCCCCCCCCCCCCCCCCCCAAAAAAAAGTACAGTAACAAACGCTGAACGGAAATGATACATAGCAATGTTTTGAAAAGAGTAGGGTGACAGTGTCATGAGTAAGGTTTACCACAGGCTGTGGCAGAAAGACA